GCACACACACTGACACTAACACAGAGACTGACACACACAGACACTAACACAGAGACTGACATGCACACACACTGACACTAACACAGAGACTGACACACACACAGATGCTGACACACACACACATATACACTGACACACACACAGAGACTGACACACACACACTGACACACACACACAGACTGACACGCACACACACTGAGACGCACACACACTGACACACACACAGAGACTGACACACACACACTGACACGCGCAGACGCTGACATGCACACACACAGACTGACACGCACACACACAGACACACACACAGAGACTGACACACACACACACACACGCCAAACATGACAGCCAAAATACCCGCATTAGGCACATTAGGACGTCACATGTGGCTCAGTTGTATAAATGTGTGTTTGTAGGAAAAAAATTATATATATATATGTGTTTCAGCACGTGAGTTTATGTGGGAGGTAATAAGCTGCAAATGTACTCCCGTCTCTTCTCACACAGCGAAAGCCCGCTCCATTTTCCCGCACACTTGGACAGACGCAACCCACCCCCCCATGAACATTAATCACCCCGTCTGATCCGCCGCCAAAGCACCGCTTTAATGACAGGACTGAAAACAGCCTCTCCGGCTCGCGCCTTAACAGCAAACATCGATCCGTCGCCATCACTAGAAGTGACGTGAGGGATGACGGACAGCGAATCCCATGAATTTGGCGGCACTGAAGGTCCAGCCCAGTTCAGAGCCAGCCGACATGGTCTGTTTCCGAAGCATCTATGGGGCATCGTTAAACCTTTAATCTATATTGGCGGCAGGGCGATTGCACCCAAATTCCTTCCGTCAGCCTTTGAGTGGATGGCTTGAACGGTCAAACGTTTTAGTGGGGAGATGGCAGCAGCAGTGAGAAGCTCCAAGCATCCAATCGGAGGCTGTTATAAACAAGCATAATCTGTGGCATACGGCAGATTCAGTAGCCGGGGCGATCGGGCCAGAGAGCGGTGCGCGCCTCCCATCCTCATGTCACACGCCAGGCGGCCAGAGCCCGGTTTGGGGAACGTTTTCCCTCTGACGTTCATGTCGATTTAAATCGACAGCCTGGCGGGACACTTCTTCCATGCTGGGAGATCGTCCCAGTGTGCCTCGTGTCGAGGCCCGCTTCATGCGGATTCCTAAATGGCAGCATTTTTCCCCTCTCCCTGTTTCCAGGACACAGCTGTGTGCCTCTCGCTGGCAGAAATCACCTCGTACTGGCGTGCTGGTACCACACAGCCTGATATTTGCCCTAAATATGTTTCTCTTGCTCAGCAGCAGGAGGTTAATTGAGCCGGGTCAGTGAGATCAGGGCTCAGTCGCACTGGGTTCCAGCTCCCTGAGTCCCCGTTATGACATCCAGCTCTGTGCTTTCAGACCATTTTGTTCTTGCCTGACTATCTCTGGCACCTTCGATTCCCCTCTCTATTTTCACCGCCTCACCTCAATTCCCACCCCAGTCCATCAGTCACAGGAACTCCCCGCCCCCCCCAAACCTTGCCAGTGCTTGCTTTTCCCCTTGCCTCTCCCCAGCACCGTGGCCCCTCCCCCCAATTCCTGCTCCCAGCATTGCCCTGTGCTCCGTGTGTCACTGCCCCTGGCTGCACTTTTGTTATCCATTCACCCCCGCCCCCCATGCGGTCTTTCTCAAGGTCCCATCCCTCCGAGTTGGAAGGTAAAATCCGAACAGCTACACGAATGAAAACAAGCGCCGGGCAACGGAAAAGCCGCCAACATGCAATCTCGTTAAAATCCAACGTCCCCGTTGAGGCCGCAGTTCAATTTAATATCTTATGGAGAAGAATGCAGCTCATCCTTTGAACAGAAACTGAACGACGGTGCAATTTAATACCCACTGATCTATTTCTGAGTTTCACAAGTGCGTATTCCGTTGAAGGAAGTTGACATGCAGCTGGAGATAAGATGGGCTTCCCACTGCCCTCAGAGATGAAGTCAGCATGAATTTTAGTCAGTGCATTAATACCTCAGTAAGGTCGAAATCTCACATGAAAGCCAAATGTCAATTGCAGTGTTTCCTCATTTGCCTTCATTTAAGATGTTTCTGTGCTATTCCACCAAGATTTTTCCAGCCAAATGCTTTGGGTGGGAACACCAGAGATTCTCCCATGACATCCCACTTCTCCATTGGCACTCCACCCACCTGCTCTAGTTGAATGTTCCCTCTGAGGGTTTTAGACCCACAGCAATTAAATTTATCTGCATAATGGTACCCCCCTGGAGGACGTCTGCTCCGACAGTGACTTTACAAAGAACGTCTGCCTTCGGTTGATGAGAGCCTTTTTCCTGGTGTCCTCCCAGCCTTGCAGACGGTGTTTATCTCCTCACAGCAGCAGAGTGTCTATTTCCCTGCGAGTAAAAGTTTTCAGTGACACTGAGAAAGAGCACATC